GGGGAACAGCCGTACATTTTTCTCTCACCTCACACATATTTTTAACTGGCGTTCTGCAATGTCATGGAACATATCTTTCTTTCACTACCTACCTACCACTACTAAGGATATACAGGGGATTCCTGCAAGCATAGCTTTTAGTATCTGATCCGTGGTCCGTCGGGAAAAAAGAAAAAAAGAAAAAAAAAAGAAATGGAAGAGTGAATGCCCCCCAGTAGTGTGAGACCTGTGCTGGCCAATGTCATGAGATTATCAGACAGGATATTGCAGCTCATGTGTAAGAAGAAGAAGAAGAAGAAGAAGAAGAAGAGGATGAGAAGTTTGGTTGCACTGGCAGCGTCCTCAAACTGCAAAGGGTGGAAGAAGAAGAAGAGGAGGAGAAGAAGAAGAAGAAGAAGAAGAAGAAGAAGAAGAAGAAGAAGGAAGAGGAACAAGGAGAGGAGGAGGAGGAGGAGGAGGAGGAGGAGGAGGAGGAGGAAGGAGGAGGAGAAGTTTGATGAGGGAGTAATGGCAATGATGAATCCTGTCATGCTGTTGCGTCACCATGTTAGGCCTTTTACGACGTCATTGACGACGGGCAAGTGATACTTCACCCGATATTTCGTGCTGGATGCACCTCTTTGCCAATCTTCCACTGCCGTTTTGTTTTTGGTACCATGTAGATACTAGATAGGTTGATTGAAACATCCCACCACTTCCATCTCCCGCACTGGGCCTCACGCCCAACTTATTCCAGCCTCTTAGAGCAGAACTTCAAGAGGAGGGAGGCATATTCAAAGGTCAATCCCATCTGCACATGAAGCCAATCCTCCTTCCCCTTGCAATGCGGCAGGCAATTTGTTGCAGTCCTCCCCCTCTCTTCCTCCGCCACCATAAGCAGGTGTGGTGCATGTGGGTGTCCACAGCCTAGCGCTGACCCCATCCTCATCGTGAACCCCCTCCCCTGCCTGCCCTTCCCTATCCCTTCACAAAAGGGTCAGAGCGCATCCCACCATCCCCCTTTGAGTTTTTTTTCCTTCTTTTTTTTATTTTTTTTTCGTGGATAGCATGTGGCGAGGCCCTTTTTTGGTGCATGTGGTGTCCACAGCCCAGTGCTGACCCCATCCTCATCGTGAACCCCCTCCCCCTATCCCTTCACAAAAGGGTCAGAGCGCATCCCACCATCCCCCTTTGAGTTTTTTTTTTTCCCCTTTTTTTTCTTCTTCTTCTTCTTTCGTGGATAGCATGTGGCGAGGCCCTTTTTTTCTCATTTTGTGTGATATCGTTCGTCTTGTCAGCATTGCAGCAGATAATGCTGAATGAATGGTAATCAGTGTAATCGCATCTCGTGGTCGGCATTTGATGTGGCATGTGATCGGTTTGGCCAGTTTGGCCAGTTTTGTGATAACTGTGTGACGGGTGACAGATCTTGTTAGGGTAGCCCCTAACAAATCACGAGCTCATTCCCTTGGGTGGGGGGTGGGTGGGGGGGAGGGTGGGTTGGACTACCTGGCCTAAGGATTGAACGGTGGTCGGGCTTGTGTGATGGACGAGGGACAGAGGAAGAAAATAGCCAAAGAAATATGGTGGCACTTTCGTCGCTAGGAGACCTACTTAGTAGATACCACTTATCAATGGTTCGCAGGTGCAGCTATGTGTTGGATATATCAAATGAAGCGCATGCAAACATGTTGCATGTATATATACGATATATATATATAGATCACCAGCCCGTACGTGCGGAGGTCCCCGGGCCGACCTCCGTACGTTCGGGCGTTCGGGGTCCTGTTCAGGGTCCGAACCTGACGGCGTTCGTCCCCCGCCAAAAAGTTATTTCAGGGCCTGAAAATAAGTTTTTGTTTCTGAATTTTTTTTTTGTGAGTTCACTATGATGTGAGCTACATGCCTATAAATTTTGAAGCCATTTTGCTGATCCGAAACAAAATAAAAAACCGCCAAAGATTGCGGTGTCAAAACGTGCTCGCCCACTCACTATTTTTTTATTTTTTTTTCACTTTTTACTTTTTGTTTTCACTTTATTGTGGGGCCTAAAAAAGTTCATTATTTTTTGAGACTTTTTTAAGGAGTTTTTTATTATGTGAAGCACACATCTGTAGATTTTCAGGGCATTTGGATGTGCCAAAAAAAAAAAAGAAAAATCGCCAAAGATGGCGGTGTCAAAAACGTGCTCGCTCACTCACTGATTTGATTCTCTTTTTATTTTTTCTTATTCTGATTATTAGTTTTATTTTCTGTATTTTATTTTTACTTCAAATTGGGTGAGGAATTTGGATGTTATGCTCAGGCAAATCTTGTTCATTTAATTTTTCAATTTTTTCTCCATAACATATCTTTTTTCGGATTTTTTTGAATTGTTTTTTTTTCTTTTTCGGTCCGCGTTCGGCCCAAACGGCCGAACGCATCCCCAACGGGTCCCGTACGTTCGGGCGGTCGGGTGCGGGTGTTCGGCCCATCCCGAATGCCAGTTACCCTGTCTATGACAATATATATATATGTCCTCTTCTCCCTCTGCCTACGGTTTACCGGGCAGTTCTATTTGACGATATATATGAGTGATAGTCTACTTTGATTTTGGTTAAGGTAGATGATCATTTACAGTGTAATCAGTGAGGGGATTCTGCAGACTGTTGAGGGTTCAACCTCCTGATGAGTCGGTGAAACTCCGACGAAACGGTTTGTCACAGCCCCTCGTTTGTTGTCCTCTTCTCTCTCTCTGCCTACGGTTTACCGGGCAGTTCTGTTTGTGACGATATATATATTATCTAACAACTCCCATAAAACTTTTCGGCCGCGGACGCGACTCTCGCTTCTGCGATGGTCCACGTTAGTGTTTTCCCGTGGAGACGTCCGATGTAAAAATTCTGACGCGCGTCGTGAAGCGTGAGACGTCCGATGTAAACTTT